TTCATCCTATAATTAACGATCTTTACCTTTAAACAACGACGATTTTCTTTAAAAACCGTCGTCTTTACTGATAAACAACGATGGTGAAAAGCCGTCGTAGTTTGACACCCAAATAGACGGCGGTCGATTTAACGACGGATTTCAAAGCATTACAACGACGGTGGATCCCCGTCGTCTATTTCGTTTTTTGTAGTAGTGTGCTACCATAGATGTTGAATGCAACGCACATATATTTCATACATGACTATTAATTTCTATTTAAATACAATTAATTTCCAAAATGCTACATTAATTTGCTTCCTGAAAGGATTTTTCTTTATAGAATTAAATTCAATTTTTAGTATCCTATATTATATAAGAAGGAGAAAAACTTTCATGTCACGAAGATGTACAAGGCAACATTACCACATAAATATCCTATACTTTTGTATTGGGGATGTGAAAGTGCTCCAATCCCATCCACAGTTGCACCAAAATGCACAAACAGTTCTATGTGACAGACTTCCACACGAGGTGCTCAATCTTCTTATTTGAGTGATTTTTACAAACGGTCAAGAAGTTTACAAAGTTATCACCTTTTGTTCTTAAGACTTATTTATGACATGTCTGATCCTCACAATGACTCGCCGTATATCAAATTGGTCCATGTCGTGAAATCACACCCAACGAGGGAATTGACCGGTCGTTAGTCGACTACAACCGACCGTTCTGCATTTCTATTCTGAAAACCCCCAACAGAGTGTTGATTACTCAAAATTCATGGCCTGAAATAAGTGATGGTGGTATGATTACGAACAAGGTCTAAAATATCGGTGGTATCAGAAATATCGGAAGTCCAAAAACACGGAAATATCGATGGAAATATCGGGATATTATCGGTATCGGTAAAAATTGAATAAAAACCACGGAAATTGTAAGAAAAACTTGGAAATTTTTATTGAAACTTTGCAGGATGTTTATTTAGTCAATTATCTATTAGTTTATCACAAAAAATTGGAAGGAAATGCATTGCATGATGGATTTAACTTATTTAAGTTGATTATATAGCGAGCTGGCAAACACTGTAAGTGTAGAAAATATGTAGTAATTAATGAAAGAAGATTAAACACACCATAATCATTTATATATAATGAATTACTACAATATTTTACATGCATTGCATGATGGATTTAACTGATTTAAGTTGATTATATAGCGAGCTGGCAAACACTGTAAGTGTAGAAAATATGTAGTAATTAATGAAAGAAGATTAAACACACCATAATCATTTATATATAATGAATTACTACAATATTTTACACTTTATACATTGCATGGTAAGATACATGAGTGACTTAGTACCACATAGAGTTCCTATGAGGTTCAAAAATTTCACTATCTTCATCATCTCTATGTGTAGAGTAAGTATATTGTAAAGAGTAGTCATCAAATGATAAATCCCCAAAATAGTTTTGCATGTAATTGTTTGTCATCTCATGTAATCCCCAAAAGGAATGGTCAAAGATTCATTCTCATCTCATGTGAAAATTTGTTTCTTGCAAAAAGAATTCAAAACAAAACCATGTATATATATAAATATTTTAGCATATTTTCACAAAAACATAAGTGATATGGTGGTTAAGGTGTTGAAGGAGTAAAATGGGAGGGGTTTGAATCCCTCTATGCGCAACAGGAGAGGTTTTTCAAAAAATTTCATGTATTTTTTGGGTTTAGTATCGGGATATTATCGATAATATCTCGATATATTGCCCAAATCATTCATAAAAATGTTGAAGTTATCTCCCCGATATTATCCTGATAATATGATATATTGATGATAACACCATGGTTAGTTGCTAAAATATCGGCCCCCCAAAAATCAGATATTATCGGGATAATCGCCGATAATATCGATATTTAATACCTTGATTACGAATACACTTTGGAAAAAAAAAAGTGATGACTACTTGACTATCGAAAATTAGTTCTCTGGCTTCTCCACCAACTCATATAATCTCATGTTTATATAATGTAATCTTTTGTGAGGCCCAAAAATTTCCTCCGTGTTGTATGTATTATGTAATATCTTCCCAATTTCGATTTTGTTTTCATCGAGGGTGTCCAAAGCAGAGAGTTTATTTTCTCTCTCTTTAATACTCTGAGATTGTTCAAACCTTTTCACACTTGAGTGTCGGCCCTCATTCTTGTTTACCAAGTCCAAGTATTGGTTTATGACAAAAAAAAAGTCCAAGTATTGGTCTCTTTACGAGGGGAACTTGCATGTGTCACAAGAATGTTGCTGTTTTGTTATTTTCATTCAATCACGACTTATTATGTGGAATTTTTATTAAGTGTGTGACCGAACGTGATTGATTGGGGATAAAAAAAACAATGTTATCTCTATAATATACAAGTTTTTCTCCTCTTCATGTGTTACGAAACTTTATACGTTTCACACAATGAAAAGCACTAAACTAATTAAACACGTCGAAAAAGACAAAATGGAAATCAAGAAATTCTCTACTACAAAAGCTTATCTTTTATCTTAGATACTAGCTGGTCAACTAGCCCTTGTAAACAAATTAAGACAACCACTTGACCTGGTCTTTACCCACAAAACACTCTCATTCATGTTTACAGCTAGATCCGTTGTATATCCTATTCACCATAGGAGGGGAGAGTGGGACCAGGCACACTAGAAATATTGTTCTAGCCTCTCCTCTATTGGATCAAGTTAGCAAAAGTCTGTTTGAAGCTCAAGTTGTAGGCCTCGAATTGATCCAGTTGTGTCTTTGTGATAGGCGTGCCACTGTTGAAACTTTAGCCAAGCCCAACATAAAAAGATTGATTAATTAATGATGTAATTATGGTGGATTGGGCTTATAATCTGACGTCTAATCAAGTCATTGTGCTCTAAATGGGAACCGGCCTGCTCAGGCTAAGAAGTTGATGATCTGGCTAAAACAACTTTAATCCGATGAGAACAGAATTGGACTAAAACAAAAGAAATAAGCTTCGTTAACTCAAATGTAATCAGAATGAGACTGAAGATTTTCTCCATTCAACCCATTATATACAATTGAAAAGCTGATAAACTCATGAACTGATAAGTAGATGCATAAAGAAATAGCAACTAGGAATCGATACAAAGTGTTGGTAGAGCAATAAACTTAAAAAGGTAACTCAAGAGTGGTCAACTGGATATCTTAAGACTAAAAGGATTAGTTGAGTTCAACAAGATGAGGTCTTGATCGAATGTGGAGTCTGTTTCTAAGAGAAAAGCTGTGCCTTTGAGAGTTGTGCTCCGCGTCTATTTATAGGCTCCTTGGTTCTTGAATATGCACGCTTCACCCTAGTTGTTGCTAGCATAGGGGATGCCTAGATTAATGGGTCCTTCTGAGTGCTTAGGTTGTCACTTAATTATCTTCTAGGTTTGTAGGGATTTGAGAATTGATTGTTGAATAATAGATGTGTCTTCTGCTATGTGTTCTTAGATCTATGAGTAGTTGTTGACTAGTCATATATTTGTTGGGATTACTTTGTTGGTCTAATTTTTGGTATGCTAGATTAGCATTTAATTTAAGATCCGTCGACCTAAGACGAAGAGAAATGTCTATCTATTTTATTTAGTTATTCAGTTAAATCAACGAGCCATTAATGTAGCAGATAGCAACAACCATATTTCATCCGACGTGAGTATTTTTGATTTTGCAATGGATTTACTGTGAGATCCCACATCGACCAACGGAGAGGGGGTTGATGTGCCTTATATGTGCATGCCCGCATCCATCTAGCACGAGGCCTTTTGGGAGCTCATTGGTTTCGGAGTTGTAGGAACTCCGAAGTTAAGCGAGTTGGGGGCGAGAGCAATCCCAGGATGGGGGACCCACTGGGAGGTTGGTCGTGAGCTCCCAGAAACAAAACCGTGAGGGCCAGAGAGGGGGGGCCCAAAGCGGACAATATCGTGCAACGGCAGAGCCGATCCGGGATGGGCCAGAGAGGGGGGGCCCAAAGCGGACAATATCGTGCAACGGCAGAGCCGATCCGGGATGGGCCAGAGAGGGGGGGCCCAAAGCGGACAATATCGTGCAACGGCAGAGCCGATCCGGGATGGGCCAGAGAGGGGGGGCCCAAAGCGGACAATATCGTGCAACGGCAGAGCCGATCCGGGATGGGCCAGAGAGGGGGGGCCCAAAGCGGACAATATCGTGCAACGGCAGAGCCGATCCGGGATGGGCCAGAGAGGGGGGGCCCAAAGCGGACAATATCGTGCAACGGCAGAGCCGATCCGGGATGGGCCAGAGAGGGGGGGCCCAAAGCGGACAATATCGTGCAACGGCAGAGCCGATCCGGGATGTGACATTTACATCTTTCATTAATGGAAATTGTTTGATGTAGTGAGTAATAGCTCTGGTTGTTCGCTGTTCAAGAATTCTTGTTTAGGCAGTTCATATTACCCCTTCCACCTAAGTGCCAATTTCACAAACTATCAATGTTTTAAGTCTTCATTCAAAGATCATAAAATTTTGAAAATTTGGAAACCATTAAGACATCTAGTTGTGATCAACAAAATAAATGAATGTGGTATTTTAAGAATACATTTAAATGATTGGTTAAATGGTTTTGAGTGTTTCATTTTTGTTGCAAGGAGATCTTTATGTACAGTTCCAACAATTAAAAAACAATGCGAAAAGAGCCCTACGAGGATGTTTCTCAAATAAAGTTAGTTGAGGAATAAGCTCTCAGTATATATAGCACACTCACATTCACCACACACACACAAAGCACACGCAAACAGAGCACGCACACACTCGCTCACTTAAACATATACAATGAACTTGAGTTGAGATATCCCCCACATTACACTCTTTAAGAGACTCTGTGTAGTGTCCAAATGCTATTTATAGTTTGATGATACGAGACCATCGATTTTTCAAGTGAGAAATTTCAATTATTTGCACCAGATAATTGTGATTAGGTCAAATGTATCATTAGTGATATGTAAATGGGGTCATATAAAAGAAAAGATGGCATGTAGATGGAAATTGCATTGCGTAAGGTAATAGTCTAAAGGATTACAAGTCCAAAAACATAATATTACAAGAAATATTTTCTTTACAGTAACTTGAAAGACATTGGTGGTACTCTTTCCTCCCTTGGGGTTTCTCCCATGTGGTTTTCCTAGGAAGGTTTTAACGAGGCCATTATGTTCATGCATGCTCGTCCTTTTGTATGGATTATTGGATTATGAATGGAATCTCTTTTGCTCTCAGAAAAAGAAGAGCTTGTGCCACTATCCATACAAGAACCGGCTGATAAAGAAGAAATATCCCAGGGCTCGGTTATTTGGCTTTGATCATATTCAACCTCTGCAAAAGTTTTTTGGACATCAGAAGCTTTAACTGACAATTGAATTCCCTCCAATTCTACTAACACTTCTTTCATAGTAGGACGGTTTCTTCCATTCAAATTTAAGCATTTTTTTGCAAGAATAGCAACACCCACAATCTCGTCTTTTCCACCATCCTTCATAACTTGAGCATCAAGAATAGCAAACAAATTATTATCCTCCATGGACATAAGGAAATAAGTGGCTAGGCTTCTGCTTTCTGGTGACCTCATGAATGAAACTGGTTTTTGTCCCGTCAAGAGCTCAGCAAGGACGACTCCAAAGCTATAAACATCACTCTTCTCTGTAAATTGGCTAGATTGGAAGTATTCTGGGTCCAGATAACCAAATGTTCCATGTACTAGTGTTGTAAGATGCGTTTGGTCAATGGAAATTGATCTTGAAGTCCCGAAGTCTGCTACTTTGGCTCTGTATTTTTCATCCAAGAGTATGTTAGAAGACTTGATGTCCCGGTGGTAAATTGGAAAGGAAGCTGCAGAATGTAAGTAGGAAAGTGCTCCGGCAACTTCGATTGAAATTCTTAATCTCAACATTCCTTTATAAACTGTACCTTGGCCTCCCTGACCAATAACTCTGTCTGCATTAAAATGGTCCGTGGCTTTCTCTAGCTCCTTGCAATTGAACAACTTAACCTTCTCAACATTGAGTTCACCAGAAGATAATTGTTGCTCCAACACTAAACCACCATTTTGTCTAAAGAACTTCTCTTTGCGTTTCATATCTTTCCTTTTCTTCATGACTTTGTGCGCCCACCACATGCCAGTTAGCAGAAACAACAGTCCAAGAACACTGCTGGGAACTGTATGGTTCAATCAAACAAGAAAGGATATATAACTCGGTCAAGAAGATGTTGTTTCATATATATACTCTAATATGAACGTCCTTATTTTTCTAACGTCCGGACTACTTGTTACTTTTCTTGGTATTGGTAGAATAAAAATCATGCTTTGCCACTACTAAAAAGTAAAAAATGACCTTCTGTAGAAAGAACTTGGAGGCTGTTTATGTATTTAAGTGCCTTTTTTTAATGATAATAATATTGAAAAGAAGAGATGCACAAAACAAAATGGAAATGGTTTCCTTTTCATTGAATGAATGAATTCATTCTGATCATGTGAAAAAACAAAACGAGTTTAGAAGTTAGAATTCGGACGTCTATACTAGAGAATAGTTCAATATATATATATATACACTCTAGTGCGGACGTCCGCAATGGAAAGGAAACCATTTACTTTTTGTTTTGTGTATCTCTCTTCTTTTCAATATAATTATCATTGAAAAAAAGGCACTGAAGCACATAACACCCTCCAAATTCTCTCTACAGGCCACCAATGAAGGAAAAGCCCAATCTAGAGATGATGTTTGACTTTAGTATTGGCAGAGCATGGATTCTGTTCTACCAATACCAAGAGAAGTGATAAAAGTGTTTGGGTTGATTTATTAGCACAAAGAAGGGAAAAAACAAGTAGTCTGGACGTTAGAAAAGAGAACAACTCTCTCTCTCTCTCTCTCTCTCTCTATATATATATATATATATGTGTGTGTATTTTTTTTCAACTTAGTCATCAATAATCAAAGGATTAGTGCAGGGGCATACCTATAATGGCCAGAGTAACTCGTGATGATCGTTGATCAGGCAATTGACACATAAAGCTCCCAGGATAATTGATGCAAATGCCGGAACCACATCTATAGGGGTGGTCTGGATCCTCGCATTCATTGATGTCTGATTTTTAATTGACAAATGGAAAGTAAAAGTTTCGGCAGGTGGTAAGAAAAATATAATAACAATGAATATGAGTTATTTTTATACAATTTCACTCATCATTTTGCCATGCAAAGGGTTGCCAGGAGAAATTATAGAGTGGAGAAAGTATTAAGAAATCAGTAAAAAAGGAAAAAAATCATGAAAAAGAAACAAAGACTTTTGAAGCTTGGACTGTGGTAGCTAGAAGTTTACCTTGACATCCATGAAGAAGATACGGGTTTCCATGGTAGCCCTTTGAGCAGAAACATTGGCTGCTGCTGCAATCCGTACTTTTATCATCTGTCCAATTATTTGTTCCATATATATCAAACTTGGTATAATTCAAATCAAGTACGTGCCATTCCAGCACCATAGGAACGTAGTCCATTTCACCAATGGCAGAAACATTTGTTGAGTTTGATGTAAACCAATCATGCTCTACAAGGAAGGCAGACTTGCATGCCTTTCTGTCAGCATTTAATACTGCTCCAAAACTAGTATTGAAGGACCTGAGATATGGAGTAATGGTGGTCTGGCAGCAATTCATCCCGGTGCAGCTCTTCGTTCGTAGATAGCCAGTACTTGAATCATCACATATCGACAAGCAGCCAGCAATTGTTGAACCATCTAAGGATGTCATCAAGGCGATTCCTCCACAGCTCAATGAAGTAAATCTGTTTTTCAAGGAGAACACAAACGGACTTCCTTCCAAGTTCGGCGTCTGGCGGCCTACTGGCTTGTTACTGCAATTAGAGAAGGTAATAGGGCTTTCCACCTTTAGTGTGCCTTCAACAGAAATTTCCAGCACCTCTAAACCAGTAACGTTCAAGAAAGCTTTCGGTGGGCTGGCTGAGTTGTCACATATTATTTGGAACCAGTCATCAAGGTAGCAGCCAGCTTCAATTCCAAAAGGATATGGGATTTGAGTGACTGATCCGCATTGGGATGAACAATTAGGCTTTCCCAATGGTGCATCCGATGCTACTGCAGTCATATACCACAAGAACAGAGTAATTTGGACAACGTCCATTGTTCTGCTGCTACTTCTTCCTCTCATTAGTTACCACTCTCGATTCTCGATCTTCTTGACGATAAACACTAGAAATTGAAAGCAAAAAAGAAATTAAAAGCAGGAAGATGCAGAGGTAGTTATGTTTTACCTTCTTCGGGGCAGTATTTAATGTCAATATTGATTTGATAACTTTTGCATGTCAAATCCACTTAAGATTACAACTTTTCCAACTTTCCCTTGATGACTTTTGCATGTCAAGTCCACTTCAGATTACAACTTTTCAAACTTTCCCTTGATGACTTTTGCATGTCAAGTCCACTTAAGATTACAACTTTTCCAACTTTCCCTTGATGACTTTTGCATGTCAAGTCCACTTCAGATTACAACTTTTCAAACTTTCCACTTCAGATTACAACTTTTCAAACTTTCCCTTTGATGACTTAAGATTACAACTTTTCCAACTTTCCCTTGATGACTTTTGCATGTCAAGTCCACTTCAGATTACAACTTTTCAAACTTTCCCTTTGATGAGTTTTGCATGTCAAGTCCACTTAAGATTACAACTTTTCAAACTTTCCCTTGATGACTTTTGCAAGTTCGCTTCTTCCACAGT